GACTAGTCTGTACACAGGGATGGGGTAAGTTTTACACACAGTACTAGAGTCCAGGAGGGATGGCATCCCCCTTTTTAAAAAAATCTTAAAAATAAACCTTCTTAAATGACCATCCCCCCATCCAGTCCCCTGTGACATTTTATCTCTGAATGTGCAACATTTCTACTATATATTATTGGTAATGGCAATAATATTGCCCTTTCAACATTTGGCAGGTTGTGGGCGTACGATTAGGCTGAGGAAAATAAATAAAATCTAACAAGTGGCCTGTCATGACTATGAAGCTGATCCCAATGGGAAATTTTCCCTCTGCATTTGTCCCTAACTATGTAGGGGCAGTGATAACCTTGCCAGTCCAGGGACTGACTGACTGCAGTTCTACTGTAAGGTGCCTTGGTCAAGGTCAATGACCGGCGTACCTGACATGTAACAACCAAACCATGCATATTGCTTTAGGTTAATAGACTCTATTAGTTAGGCTGTGTGTGCTTCCAAAAAAAAAAATTATTCCACCATCCCCCTTCTTTTTTACAACTAGACTACTGGTTACACCTTATGGCTGCACTCCATTTTCAGAGGTGTCCTTTTGCACACAACTGAGGTAATGTTTAAAAAACTAGACTGAAAAACTACAGCACTAAATGATACCTTATCAGTTCTCAGTGAACCTGAATGATTTTATGAGCCCATTAACATCCTGGCGCAGAGGTTATTTTTAACTTTTTAGGTAGGAGCAAAAAATACAAGGCCGTAAATGGCCTTATGGAAGAAAAAAAAACGTACTATTTATAGCTATATTTCAACTCCTAATGTATTTAAAATATGTTTACATCTTTAATCATGCATCCCCAATGCACTAAAAACAGATAGATTCTAAAATATATGCAGCTGCAAAATTTTAGTCAGTGGATCTTCAAACCCACTTAAGTTAACTGATGTTTAGTTTGAATGCATGACTGATAAAGAATGACAAACTTTATATACTTAGAACTTTTCCTTAGTGTGGTAACATATCTAAATATATGAAACAACATTTATCATTATTATTTATATATTTATTTTCGAGACATGTATCTTAGGCAGATATAAATACTACACTATTATTCTAGATGAAAAGAAATAAAAGATTATTTAAACAAAGCCAATAGATTTAACCATTTTTTATCTTTATTAATATTTTTTTTATTTTGCTTTTCAACAGTAATTAACAGTAACACCAAAAATATTATATTGGAGCACTTTTCACTTGACAGATATCAGGGATTTTAGTGTTAATAAAGTTAATAATTGTACAGTGAGACTGTTTGCAGGGACAGCTGTGCACGCTTTCCGTGTGTGCTCTGGGAAATGCACCATTTTTAAGGAATAAAAAGCCTTTCTTTCTTGCACTCATTCTTATTCATAGAAAGAAAATGCTTATAAGAAAGGCAGGATTAAGGGTTAATAATCAGGAATAATAGATTCATGTTTCTTTTTTCATACAGGTATGGTTCTTACCTGATCTGGAAAGAGCTTGGAGGTTTTACTGAGGATGCTGTGGCTCCAATGGGACTTTATGGGCTGCAGCTAGCTCTGAACTGGGCATCGGTTCCTCTTTTTTTCAGTGCACACAGTCAAAAATGGGTATGTTTAAAACATAAATGTCGATTTGAGTTATTTTTAAATATCAGATTTGAATTTCATAATTCTGGATTGTCTAATATTAGCCTTTTCTCTTATTATTTTAGGGTTTTCTTGAGATTGTGCTTCTGGATGGGGCAATTGGAGCTACCATGCTGTCTTGGTATCCCATTAATCGCACCGCCTCTCTGCTCTTAGCACCATATCTTGCTTGGATGTGTTACACCACTGCCATCCGTTACTGCATATGGAGAGACAACCCTGATGAAAAAGAAGAGTAGGGGACAACTCAGGAATTTGTTTTCAGTCATTTCTATAGGATGTTTAAAAACATAGAAGATGAAACCGGCAACACGTCTGTTGCCTGATGGACAACTACTATGCTCACTCTTTTTAGGTACATTAGGATCACAGATGCATAGGAAGAACAGATAAACTCCACATAGAAAGTTCCCAGCAGGGCTTTAACTCATGATCATTATTGCTGTGAGTTTAGACCCCAAGCAATTAGACATAAATCATGTAGAAATTAGACCAGCTTTATTTTGATACATTTTTAAGCTGATTAGCAATGATAACAAGAAGATCCACAATAACTGGGTGATGGAAAACTTATATCTAATAAGCTGACTGAATGATAATTGGAAATGCAGGCTTTTCTGTGCAAGTAGCGTGTATTTGATTCTCCAAGTTATCAGAATATCTCTTGCATTAATGTAACCTTAAAGTGAGACTTAATTTGACTTCACCAATGATTTTGTATGGGTTTTATCTGTAAAAATCTTCAAGAGGTAATGTATAAATTGTTGCTAACTAGAACATGTTAAAGCTTTTCAAAAATAAAAATATTCCCTCTGATTATGACAATATTGTGCTATTTTAGATTAGCCACAGTGAATCTATAGAAACTGTAATACTTCAACAAAGGACCTTTCCTAGACGCTTTTACTTGCAGATTCAGTTTTCTTTTTTAAGTTTGCAGTTCCTGCTGGAGGTAGAAACTATTGTTTTAAGTAAGAAAAAGGAAAAAGAATCATTTCACTTTATGGTAATGGTTGAAGTCATCCAGGAGTTTCCAACCACTTCCACAGTGCCAGAGATTGGCAACCCCAAAAAATACACATTATTTTTGAAAATGTAGAGTGAAATTTCTATTATTTTACTACACATTTTATGATGTAATGGTAATGTAATTAGTTAATGATCAATTAACGTTACTCTTTATTATTTATTAGGATATCTCTTTATTTCATGGGCCATTGATATTGTCATTTGTCCCTTTTGGTACACCTCAGGAGTCACATGTTGATTTTGAAAATCCTCTTGCTACACTCTGTTAGGCGTCTCATGCCCTCCACTTTGGGAACCGCTAATCTAGGAGAGCTTAAACAGAAGATAAAAGCAAAAGAACCTGACTTCTTTTGGTTTAAAACCTTCTGCTCTCTTGTGGAGAGAGATGAACGATTAAAAATCCTTCACAAATTAAGAGAAGGCCTGCTGTCTTGTTATTACACTTTAGATTATAACACCATGTTGCATGAGGATGCCCTAGTGAAACTACACATGATTATAAAATAACTTACTGATAGATCTTGCATAAATATTTATTAAGTCATCTTGAGTCATTAATTTCTCATGTTTGTAATTCACATTCTTATTGCATATGACAGGAAGCACAATTCATTGAAAATTATTCTTTAGGGTTAATGTAGGCAAAAAAGGAGAAAGCATTTCAGCTGGGAGCCATCATCAGCACACTTAAAGAGAATAGGGCTTATAGGTGAAAGGTGCCTTGCAAAAGTTTTCACACCCTTTATAGCTTTGTTGTGTTACAACTACAACCTGATTGGATTTTTTTTTTTGTAATAACAATACAGGGTGACAGTGACGTTGGATGTAGGAGTTTGCCCTGAAATCGAAGGATTGATGGTTCAAGCCCTGACTCCGACTTTCATTGTCGTTGTGTCTTTGGGCAAGACACTTCACCTGCATTGTCTACTGATGGTGGTCAGAGGGCCTGGTGGCGCCAGTGTACGGCAGCCCCGCTTCTGTCAGTGAGCCCCAGGGCAGCTGTGGCTACAATGTAGCTTGCCACCATCAGTGTGTGAGTGTGAGCGTGAATGGGTGAATAAATGTAGTGTAAAGCGCTTTGGTGAAGTCTCCTGACTTGAATAAAAGCGCTATATAAGTACATGCCACATGCCAATAAACAAATCACAAGGTAGTATAAAAATGTTAATCAAACAGAAAATGATGCTTTATTCTCCATTTAATGTTCAAACTAAAGACTGAAAAGCAGGGTGTGAATTTTTTCTAAATAACCATGTCCTATAGTTGCAATTAGACCATTTCAAAGGTTGGTGCTAAAGGATAATCTGAAATTTCAAAAATATTTGATCAATATTCAAACTGTTGTCACACATACAATGGGCAATTTATTTTCCATAGAGACATTTTTTTTTATTTAAGGAGGCAGAATTTTTCTTATTTTATTTTCTAAATACATAGTTTTTATGCATATTATACTCGTTTACACTTTCACTTATTCCAACTAAGTCATTTTGAATAATTTTTTTGTATTTCTTCTCTTCTCAACCGTTTTTCCCTAACTTGTTGCTTTATCACTTGAACACCCCTAATGTGACGACAGCTGATTACCGTATTTAATGGATTATAGAGTACCAGCCATAAAATCCATAACAAAGAAGGAAAATGCATATATAAGTGGCATTGGAATATAAGTCGCATTGTTGGGGGAAATTCCTTTGATAAATTTTTAAATAAAAATAGAATAGAGGCCAGAACAGGCTAATTACTAACATTACACGACACATAAAAACGAACTGAGAACGTGCCTGGTATGTTAACATAATAAAAGAATACTTATTCAGATAACTCTAGCATACATAACATGCCAGCAAGTTTACCAAACCACCCGTATGACTTCAAATTACTGAATTTAATCTCCATCCCAGGTGTCACGTTTAAACAACTCTGCTAACTCCAAACTTTCTTTCGGCTGCATGATTACCGTTTTTGCTGAATATTTTTATAATCTACAGAATATGGTTTTCTTTTTGGTGACATTTTTTTGAAGTTGTTTTTATATGTTAACCCAAATGTTGAAATTATCAACACAGGATACGCTTACTCTCGGGGTTTAGTGTGGAAAAAAATAACATGTGGAATGATATAATAATGTGTTAATAATTTCACACTTAAGTCGCACCCCTGGCCAAACTATGAAAAAAAAAAAAAAAAAAACAAAAAAAAAAACTGCGATCTATAGTCTGGTAACTACGGTATTTGCTTCCAACGTTAGTCTCTTATAGTCCAGTCGCGGTTAGAAACGAAATCATTAGTATAGGAAGGTAACCATCTTGGCTCATTGGACTGGAGCGCTGACAGGGAAAAATAGAAGCAATGTGCTGAACAGGAAATTGTGACATTACTTTCTGTAATATTAAACCTTTAAACTCAGTTAGAGTAAAAAACATTTTCGCGGCTCTTGACCGTAAGTTGGTTTATATCCTCGCGACCAGCAGTTGGTCACAGCAACGTCACGTCCTTGGCTGATGATCCAGGGAGGGACAGAGGAGTGACCGCTGCGATAAGGCTGCCCTGCCCCTAAAAGCAGCCATATCTCCGGACTATCGGCATGCCAGAGTCTGCCTGCTGCTCTTCTTTTCTTCGTTAATTCTCCAAACATAAGAAAACATCCCTGCTGAGACATGGTAAGTCCTCTCAATACTACAACAACCAAAAACTCATGAATAGAGCAGCGACATGATGCAGAGTTTAACCTCTCGAGAAGCCTTAAGTAAGCCTTAAGCCTTAGTTATACTGAAACTTTGATTAATTGTTTTACAAAAGTTTTATCGTAAAAAAAAACGCGCATGAGCCTAATGCTAGCTTTCAGTTTAGCTCCACTGTGCTCTCATGCTACCTGCTAAATCTTACTATAACTCCATAATATCTGCACGTTTGCTTTCATAGTACAAGTTGTTTTACGCTATAAATGTATATATCCGTCATTTTCTTAAATGACGGATATATACAAATTCGTTGTAGTTGCCAACAAGCCAAAAAACAAAAGTTCCCAGTTAAAATCTAATACCAGAAGCTGACCCCAAAGGTCGTGTTTAATGATAAAATACTTCCTGGTGGATCCACATAGTTATCAGCTCAAAGTCTAGGCCTGTGGCTTTTTAATCTAATAAAAGCAAAACACAAGGGTTTAAATCGGAGGTCTTCAACAGGGGGTCCATTGAGGTACTGTATGGGGGTCGCAAAATTTTTGGTTGATTAGACTTTTTTTCATATTCCCTCTGCAATTTTTTCCACTAATTGAAATGTGTTTGAATACACATGAACATTAATTCAACACACTGTAGTAAACAGATAAATGGAGGCAGAAGATGTATTCCAGTGTATGTATTTCACACAGGAGCTCTTTCAAGCTGGGCACCATTTCATTCACAACACCTGTCCCATCAACCAGGAATCAGAATCAGAAATACTTTAATAAATTCAGGGTGAAATTACTTTTGTTACATCGCTCCTTATGTAGTAGTGACTATAGGACCAGTTTGATATCACACTATTTTCTACAACATGAGTTTGGGGGTCCTTGGCCTGGAAAACATTGAAGACCCCTACTTTAAATAAAGTACATTTTAACTAGAGGTAGGTAGATTAATAGCTATGCCTGTTACAAGTTGAAGCTGGAACAAACTGATCAGCATATAGAAACTCTCAGATTAACACATTACAAGTAGGGTTGGGTAAAAAAAAAAAATTGATTTTGAATCGATTCCTTTACATTTTTGCAAAATCAATGTTTAGGGAATGAGATCGATTCATTTTATAGTGACCCGCGTGACGTTCACATTCAAATAAGCAGGAAGGATGCACTCAAGATTACTTCAAGCCAGACAGCTGCAAATATAGCCAATAGGTCGACTGAAGACATTAACAAATGGGGGGGCTGAACAGCAAACACCCTGTAGTTGTTACAGACAACGCTGCACATATGGTTTGTGCAGTGAAGATAATGCAGCTCATGAATGTCTGCTGTGTCACGTTTGCTTGCTCGAGTGAGGCTTCACTTTTTCCCTTTTCACAAAGAAGTTTGCACTTTTGAGACAGTTTTGGTTACATCTCATGTTTTAATTGTCTGATTTACAAGTTTGCACTTTGTGTTTAATGTGACAGGAAAAAAACAAAATACATGAGTATTTTGAAACACATTTGAACCACTTTCATTATTGTAAAAACAGATCGAATCGAAATTAATTGATTTAGAACTGTATTAATCAAAATCGAATCGATTCAGGAACCTAGGCGAAAATACCCAGCCCTAATTACAAGCAGTACTGCCAAAGATCGAAAAATAAAAGCTGTATATTTGAGAGAAAAAAAATAGTAAACTATACTGCTACACTTTTCTATAGCACAGCTAAAACATTAGTTAAATAAAGTGCTTAATGCAGCAAAAGTTATACATACTGGTTAAACATTTTAATAAAAAAAGTTTATCAACAATATTCAGATGCTTTTAGTCAATATTATATTATATTTGCACATTATAAGCTATCTTGTTTTAGGTTTTAGCATTATAATTCTTCAGTTCTATCTAAATCTGTATGAAAAAAAATGTTTCTATCTCAAGTTGATTAAGCCTATAGTGTCCTATAAATATGTATAAAACACACAATCAAGATCATATTCATTCCTTAATAAGATTTGATGGTGAATTCAGTGAAGCTGATTTTAGGCCATATATTGACAACAAAGGATGTTCCAATCCAATTTTAATATCAGCCCAAAAAAATATATTTTTGAAAATGTCAGCCTGCAGTTATAAGCATACAGATAAAACCATTAATCTCTTCTTTTTTTTTTTTTTTTTTTTAGTTTTTGTGACCCATTTGTCAATTTTTTTTTCTCATACCTAATGTTGCTGACTAGTGTCCTGAGTAATATCACTCTATCAACCCTTTTCTGGCATTCTAGACTAAATTAATAACAAAAGTATGATTTGTACCGATATTGTATCAATATCAGTATGAGTCACTACTCAAAGCTGCAATATCGGTAAATCCATATGATTTCTGCTGACTTGCAGTGAACCATTTTCAATCATTCATAATTGCATAACATTTGTTTGAATCACCAAATTATATCTAGTGACACGGCTTGTCTTCTATATGTTCAAAATGCATCTTCCTATGCTATTAATGATCGCTTAGAAATCAGCCGTGCTATGAAGATGGAAAATAAATATTACATTGTTTCCTGTCTCTGGACAAATGATAACGTTTGTGTACATTTCTGAATGATGTGTTACTAGCTGCAACTTTAGCCAAGGGTAAACTGTTTTAACACAACTTGCTCTTATCTCAGAGCTGGCTGCCTATGATTGGGATGACGGCCTTGCCGCACGTCGGAGGGCTCTACGGTGGCTTTATTACACGTAAAGAGGTGAAAACCTGGTATAAGACTCTGAACAAACCCTCATGGCGTCCACCAAACAAAGCGTTTCCTGTGGTGTGGACGTGCCTGTACACAGGAATGGGGTAAGTGTTGGAGCAGATGAATCCCTCTGTCTCTGAGAGCTACCTTCATCAACAAGGAGTTGTTTTTTTTTTTTTTATATGCAGGTATGGCTCCTACCTGATCTGGAAAGAGCTCGGCGGATTCACTGAGGATGCACTGGTTCCACTGGGACTTTATGGGCTACAGCTCGCTCTGAACTGGGCCTGGACTCCAATTTTCTTTGGTGCACACAAGCTGAAATGGGCAAGTTTTACTAATAAATAAATAAATACAGATGCTGATCCGTGTTTGAAATCCCAACACAGTCATTGAAATGGCCTCCTTTTGTGTAACTCAGGCTATGGTGGAGATCGTCTTTCTGACGGGGACGGTCGGAGCCACCATGGTGTCTTGGTATCCCATCAACCGCACCGCCTCCCTGCTCCTGGCACCCTATCTGTCCTGGCTGTGCCTCGCCACAGCCCTCAACTACCGCATATGGAAAGATAACCCAGAGGAGAAGGAAGAATAGGAAGAAAAAAAAACACTGCAGTCTGTTTATTCCGTCACTAAATCTAATTAATCACTTTCAAATTTCTTTGCCGAGATAACGGATCCGTTTCACAGATAATCATTCTAAGTTTATGATACAGCTTTTTTTTCAGTGGCTGATTGGATAATTGTTTTAAGGACCTCTCTGTATGTTAAAGGTTGGTAAAGTAAAAGTTATGAAGAAGATTTTTCTGGTTATCCTGCTTTGCATTATGCTTTGGGAAGAGTTATTTATCTTTGAAGGCACCCCCTAAAAATATGCATGGTTCCTGTCAAACTAATAAACCCAGCAAAGACTGTTATAATGAAACATGTCTGTGTTCCATTGTATAGACAGACCTTAAATATCCTTACATTCTGTGTGTACAATGTGTTTAAAGGGACTATATAATGCAAAATAAAGTGAACAAAGCCAGCTTTTACCAGCTAATCTGTTCAGGGCAGTAACCTCTCTTTCTAAGATCTTTTTGAAGTCTTAAACCCCTTTTTGGCCTCAGGTGGTCCCAGACTTTGTTGGGTGTAATAGGCAACTCTGCTTTAAAGCTGTGTTTTTCTTCTGGGATGAAAGATGAGGACAATTTCATCATTTAATACCTACATGGTTCTAAAAGCAATCGTATTTTCATGAATCAGTCACTTTGAAAGACTTGAAGCATGATATAGGAACCAGAATGTTGAATACGGAGCAAGCAGTCTCTCTTGAGGTGTATCTCTGTGTTTCCTTTGCTAAATGCTAGTGCCATGTGTTGCTTTTCTTAACATAAATGGGTGTGACTTTATTGAATGTTTGTTTCTCTATTTGTACATAAAAAAATTAAACAAAAATATTGGAATGAAGCCTTCAGCAAAACGTTTGTACAGCCTTGAGTAAAAATGCCAGTCTCAACATTAAATATTTTACATAATGCAATTTGTTTTTTTCTTAAGCAGATGACCAATCAGCTTCTAACTGGCTGACTTGAGCTATGAAGTAATCAGTCTCTCTAATCTACCCAGCTTTCAAAATTCCATAGAGATAATTGATTATGTGTGATAAGGAATCAACTGTACCTCAGGATTTTTTCTTTTCCCCCTCATTTTATTTTTTCCCCTTCTATCCAACCTTGTCATGCCTCTTGGACCCCTCCTTTATTCCTCCGCTCTGCTGGTGTCCCTCCTCACTTTTTAGCCAAAGGTAATTGTTGTCCTTCCTTCCTGTTTCTAATTCTGATGGGGTACGACCCGTCTTGCCACTAAAACCTGTTTTTGTGATAGTTTCCTCATGTTCCTCCTTTAGCATATTTTACCATCAACACCTAAAGATTTGACTCCAATGACACCAATGCACAAAGAAAACAATTTATTTCTACACAAAAAGGAACAGTTTTTATTTTTCTGGATTTTTTTCAGAACCATCTTCAGGTGACTTTGAGGAGAATTTCTCCATTATGGACTTCCATAAACCCTTCTTTTCCTCATCCATGCTCTGTTGCATACTGCCTGTAAAACAACAATAAAATTAGGCGTAAAGATGCGTCACCTCTAGTGTTGTTGTGGCAAAGCCGCTTAAGAACAAGGAAAACTGCTTTCTATAACTGAAGAGCATACCTGAGAGTAGCACCCGACACTCCTCCACTGTTACGCCTGTAAAACTTGTGTCTCTGACTCGAGGAAACTAAAACACAGACATGCGTGCATAGAAAAGAAGTTAAAATCTGCCACTACACTTATTCATTTTCTAATATTCACAATAAAAGACATTCGGGTTACAAATATGACCAATTTACACTCCAGTTAATCTACTCTCTGCCATAAAGTATACAACCTGTGTACCTTTATACACTTTGTTGGTTATAATAGTAACACTACTGTGAAGCTTCTTTACAAATTAACCTAGTTTAACCTTTACCAGATATATAACATGTTTTACTGTCATCCTCACAAAGGTCAAAGTTTTCAAAATCTGTGCCACGTTTTTTCCATTTTCTGATGATTTAAACAAAGAACGCTAAAAAATATTCACACCATGGCAAATTGTTTCAGTTCTCTGCTTTAAATTTGTCCAAAACTTTATCTCTAAACTGTTTGCTGTAAGCCTGAGCTATAATGATAGCGTTTGCTCTCTTACACACAAGTAAGTCCTTTACAAAACAACAGGGTTTATATTTTAAAGTATAGTGGAGGATTTTCACAATTTTTTGGAAAAACCCGCCCTCTCTACTTTAAAAAAAAAAAGCACATGCACAACCCTGTTCCCGCTCCTGAGAGGGAACGCCTTTAAACGCATGTGAGATTGTGCATGAGACCATTTCTCCACGTGCACACTGAAAGTTTCCAAAAGAAGATTTGCATTTTTTCCACTACGTCAGACTCGCCACCGGTAAGTGAAAATGGGGACGAGCACGTAAGACGTCCTTACGTAAACATATCACCAGAATGATTGACAATTAGGAGAACCACTTATCTTGATGATCCACCCAGAAAAAGAACATCCTCCACTATACCTTTAAGATTATACTGCACTGGATTTGATTTTGGATTAGATAAATTAGATAACACTTGAACATTAGTAAGTGCTAGCCTGTGACGAAAAGAGTCAATAATATTCTCTAGATTGAATAGAATTGTGGAGAAAGTTCATGAAGCAAAAATACTTCTGCCAGAAAATGTTGAGCTAAAGATCTGGACTAGCAACTAAACTGTGATAAATCATAACAGAAAGCAGGTCCATCAGAACATCAGCTGTAGATGCATAATTACCCGCTGTCTGTATACGTTCCCATTGATGCGCGCCAAACTTTCATACATCTGGTCACATTTCTCTGGATCTGCAATCTGGAAAAATATAATTATAGGTAAACAGGATGTGTTATTTACCTGTCAGGGAAAAAGAACCACAGGGTTATTCTATAGGACAATTGGTAGTGAGTTGTTTCCAGTTTTGATATTAGACGGTTAAAGATCAAATTTGTTAAATGCACCCGATTTAAGGAACAACCAATCCCACAATCGACTTTTTTCACTAATAAAACTATATATGGATGTCTTGTAGTGCTGTCTTCATGTCCCAGGCATTGTTTTGCCAATTTCCAGCATGTCTGTTTAGCCTCTTTCCGACTGAAAATAGCGTGTTAACCCAGGTTAAGGCTATTAACGCGTTATGTTAATCGATCCACTATCAACATTTGTCTCCCTTCCCACTGGCAAAAAAGCCAACCCCTAGCTGGCAAGCTGCATGGTCTCTGTCCCAACCCAGCTGTGTGTCTGGTGACGCCATCACGCTGGGTTAGCGTTGATGTCACCGGTGCAAAAGAAATCAGGAAAGTAAACAATGGAAAGCAACATGTAAGGAAGCCAGGGTGTAAACCATAGTGCAGCAGCACACTAGAGCAGAAGCAACGTTCGATCCAGAGCCCGGTCTTGGATTAATGGCAAACAACAGTGCAAAATTTATTTTATTCATTTCTGTTTGTAAATGTAAACACTCGACACTGCTCTGCCATGCAGCGTCGCTAAATGAACGCTATTTAGAAGACCACTTAAGGAGATTATCAACTTTTTTTCTGGGTTTGGAAGGTTAAGATGTGTGATGATAGAAGGGTGGATGGCATTACACAGAACATTTTTAACACGGTAGAAAAAAACATTCTAACAATAAGCTTTTTTATTTTTTATCTGTATCTGACCTGCTGATAACAAAAGTTGTTCAATAAACATGGTACATCTCTTGAATTAAAGGTTAAAAACTACTACACATACTGTTAAATTTGTTCAGATAAAAGCCTCAAGGTCTGTATGGAAATGGAAAAACTATTAAAAGTCTTAAGATATTTTCTCTATCTTATACATTTTCTGACTATTTAGATAAACAGGCGGGTTTAAGTCATTCTGCAGTCAGGTTTTCAGCAGCACTGACAGAAGCATCCCATTTACTAATGTGAAAAACAAGGTCATCTTTTGCTAGCTCATCTTCTTAGCTTAAGTCTTGAAGCCGCGCGCGTGACCTCATACCTGCGTGTTTTCACCCTCGCGGAACGCAGACGCCACTCTCTGCCGTAGAAACGTCCCCAGATCCCGTCCTTTCTTGGTCTCGTCCCTTGGCCATTCCTCACAGAGCTTCAGGAACCGACGGTACCTAGTGGCGGACATATTCGCTCATGTAATATTTACGCGAGCGGGTGCTTGAGATTTTTAATCCTTTCGGGCATCCTTATTTGTGTTACATCGAAACTCGTCCCCTGTTCTCAAACACGCAGACGCGTTGGTTCCTTCTAGCTTCTGTCCTTCTGTCGACACGATGAGCGGACCAAACGTGAAAAAGGGCTCTTCATACCGGGTGACTGAGTGGATCAGCGCCACGTATCGGTTTGCGACGGACAGACAAGACTTTAGAAGGTTAGTAGGAGTAAAATACATTTTTTGTGTTATTTTTGTGTGCTGACTTTAGCCGCGCCGCTAGCTGTAGCTCACGCTTCCGAGTTTGTCCTTGTGCTGTTGCTAATGCTAATGCTAATCAGAGTGTAAATCCACAGTTAAATCATTTCGCACACCAGGTGATTTCCTAAGTGTAATTAATCACACGAGAGGCTAACATTTTTAATGTTTGTTTATAAAATTACCATTTCATTAATTTGTATTTGGAAATTCCACTTAGAATGCATTAACTAATAAATGAATGTTTTCAATGTTGAGGCAATTCAAACAAGGTTAGTCTAAAAAAATATCACACATTGCATCAAAACTAGCCAAAAAATGACTACATATGTTTATGTTTCTTTTATTACTCCCATTACCGCTGAAATATTATCTTGAATGCAACAGCTATAACATGTCCTGTCCTCTGAAAACCTGTTCGCACAAACAGATTAATTTCTCCTAAAGCAGATGAGTTTAATAACTCAAAGATTTGTTCAGAAAATACCCCTTACCTCTTATACCAAGCACCTAACAGTGTTTAAAATCTCTATCAACTAAAATGCATTTCCATGTGGGGTTTAGTTTAGTTTCCTGTTAAGTAGAAGTGTCTCTACATGCACACTGTATATTTGTGTAAACCCTGAATGTGGTCTGATATATTTGTTTAATTTGTCAAGCTTTTTTTTATTTAAAATTTCTTCTCATCACTTCACTGTATCATTTAAATAGAGGAAGAAAAAAGCAAATCAGCCCAAAAAATCAGCAGCACATATCAATGATCGCTTAGACGGATGTCAAAACAATTAGAACTGGCTTTAAAAACAACCTATTATGGAAGAGGATTAGGGCCACTGAAAAAAAAAAAAAAAAGTTAACTGATTTTAAAATTTTATTTCATTTTAATATGGGGAAAAAGTCAGAATTCTGAGGAAAAAAAGTCAGAATTCAGCCTTTTTTTCTCAGAATTCAGACTTTAATCTCATAACTCTTACCTTTAATCTCAGAATTCTGACCTTTTTCCCGTATTTAATTAAAATAGAATGTAAAAATCGGTTAACTTTTTAAAAATGTTTTCATTGGCCCTAACCCTATCTCTTAACACAGACAATCGAGGTGTAGGTGAATCAGAATAAGTGATCTCTTCACTGTTGCACTGGTTAGCGTGTGGGATGAATTAGACCAAGTTGACATGGGATGGTTATGTTGGATTAAGTCTGCAGTAAAGGATCTGCATAGTCATTAACTAGTGTTAAAAAGGCTCTAAATGGCTGTTACCCTTAAGGTAACGATTCTGGATAAACAGCATCTGTGTCTTGTTTATTTATTCCTGTTTTTGTTTTCATTTCAGGAACCTTTTGGTTAACTTGGGTTTGTTTGCTGCTGGAGTTTGGGTCGCTAGAAATCTCTCAGATTTCGACTTGATGTCTCCTCAGCCGGTGACTTAACCGTAGCTGCAGGTCCCGACCAAAAACAGGTGGTGAGAGAGCTTTCTGTATCAGGTGAAAGTTTACATGGTTTATGAGATGTTGATTAAAAACCCAGAAATTGGTTTAGAAGCAGTGTCCTGGTTTAAAATAAAATGTTTGGGACTAAAGTTATCTTTCTGCTCTTTATAGGAGCCTAGGACCAACAAAGAAGAAACAAGGGACATGATGAAATACTAGGAAAACAAAACGTCTTTGTTTACATGACATTTTTCACCTATGTATGACCTGTAAAGTGTCATCTCTATTCTTATTTTCTTTGAGTCATAGATTGATTTTGCCACACACTCTCCCATAGAGGACTTTGTTATAAACATTGAAATTATTATTATGTAGCCATGTCTATTCAGGAAGGCTTCCTCTCTGCAGCTCATAACTCTCTGCGTTCTGGTAGAAAGCGTCTCTCTGTTGCTCAGAGTTTGGAGCTCGCTGCTCAGGTCTCGGCTGTGGATATGGGGCTGAAGCCTGCCCTCCTGTACGACAGTAACGCCGCCTGTGCTGAGCAGCTCCAGCGGTATCTGAGCTGCCTTCAGTCTCTCCAGCTCGTATCTGAATCCCTCCTCACGCTGGATGTAAACGGAAATGGCCTCATTGTCAATGCCGGCGCTCTGAGGTTGAATTTAGAGCAGATGATCCGCGATGGCGGCCCGCCTGTCGTAGATGTCTCCACCACCTTGGAGAAGCCTGCTATCTCTGATAAACAGAGGAGGCAGCTGAACGGCATGATGGAAGATGTTTTGCTACTTTTGGAGAAGTTTCAGCTATCTGAGGCCAATAAACCATTTTATGTCGGGGAGAAATTTGAGGACTGGAACCTGTGCTCCTTGTTTGGTATTTTACTGGGTTACCCAGTCACTTACTGGTTTGACCAGAACAAGAGCTTCGAGAACTGTCTGTCTATGACGCCCCTGTTGGTGATCAAAGCGTCCGCATCATGGCAGATGGACGGGGTGGCTCACAGATTCTGTCTGTATTCGTTCAGCGTTCCTGCTGCTCTGCAGGGGGAGGCTCAGTCTGAGCTGGAGAACTGGAGGTTGAGTCTGCAGAGGAGATTTGAGCAGCAGCACATCATGAAAGATCTCAGTATCAATCAGTCCACACTCACTCTTCCCTCCATCTGTTTGTAATTCAACAAAAAGCTTCTGTTTAAAATAAAATGCTCTGGAATATGATCTTTGTATTTTTTTCCCTTCAGGTAAATTTGAGCTAATCATGTGGTGTGCTTTTAACAGAAACTAATTCTCAAACCTAGAAATATTCTTACGGAAACTCCACTGACTATATACTATACTATATGACTATAAATGCCCTGAATTTTGTCTGACAAGCAGTAATATCAGCTCTACATAATGAAAACAAAACCTGGTATTAAATCCATCCTAATGATCAAAAGGTTGTTAAATGTAAATCTTATCTGGAGGCGCCTCAATCCTGGCTCCTCTCTTACTGTTGTCTACAATTAATTTAAGGGAGAAAATGCCACCCAGATTAAAATATATTAGTCATTTTATTCCAAGAGTTCAAACATTTAACTTCAGATTTGTTTTGACCAAAATTTCTAACAAAAGATGTAAATCTCAGCTTTTGTCTCCTAAAATATGAATTTTGACGTGCCTAGAAACCAGAATATAAATTATTAAAGTATGTCTGATCTGATAACTTACAGTTGTGCTTGAAAGTTTGCATACCCTCCCATTGAAAAAAAGGATAAATTCACACCAGTAATTAAACTAAACTGGAAGAGTAATAAATCAAAATGTAATGTTAGTTTATTTGAATAAAATACTGATTTAGAATGTGTTAATTCTAAAAAAACAAACAAAACACAAACAAAAAAACTGTCCTATACAAATGAAAGTACGGTACTTTGCTCATGAACAGTGAATCAACAGGTGCAGAAGACATTCAAGCATACTTTTCTTTAAATATATATTTAATATTTGTTTTATTTTATGCTGTCCTGTTAAAAAACATGGGTTATTTTAACAGTAAAAAGACTAGATTAATAAAACCAACGGATCAAATTAAAATGCCTTTATTGATATAACAGGTATGGAGGAATTAGATCTGCTGTCCTGCTGTATGCATGTTTGGTAACGAGTTATCAAGGTTAGGAAGCCTTCCTAGCACCACCATTATCCTCGGCTCTCTCTGACTCAGGTCAGGGGTCTAACTAATCAAATATTTAAAATCTAAATAATTAAAGTTCAAATCTAACATCAGTAATTAGGGCTTTTTTGTTTCTCTAAGGTTAAAACATGAGAGAAACCTGTTTCTCTTTGCCCATCATCAAAATAGGAAAAAACACAAGTGCTATTTTTAAGCAGTAAATTATGTTTTATTTAAATTTGTTCAAATGTTAAGGTTTTCAATCACTCCAAGGAAACACCAGGCTACATAATATACATATAACACTAAAATAAACCGCCTTAAATGGAGCTGTACAGCCGGGTTTAAAAAAAATTAAATATTTCATTGCATTTTGTGAATAAGTGTTGATATTTCTGCAACAGCTTCCTCTTCTAATAAAATACTTTACATTTTATTTCATTACAAAGCAGCATCTATAGGAAACGACAGACACATATCCAACAGTTTGAGCTGGGATCCTGGGCCGTTTTGGAAAGTGGGATTAAAATATTCTGGATAGAGAGCAGTTATCCTGAGTAGACATATTTGTGATATACAGGACCTTTGACTTTATAACAGGTGATATCAGTCAGGCCCAAACTAAACACTAACACTCTGCATGTTCCTGCGGAGGGTCTGAAACATTAAGGACGTCCCAAACCACATAGTGGGTAGGGCGAGTGGACCAGTCAGACCTTAAATAACGAGCCTGGAATTTGGCAATGGGTGTAACGGCAATGGAGGCGGGAAAATGTGCATTCAGACACAAGTTCTGCTGGTTTGCTGCATCTTTGTACGTCCTTGATTCTTAAAGGCAAGGCTGTCTGTGAAATATTTTTATTTGACAGGATAAAATCATTTTTATATAAACCAGGGCAACAGAGCTACAGCCGTGCACATGGTGCGTCACTGTGTTGCCATAGCAACACCTGCGTTCCTTTTCCATTGAGAAGAGGCCTTCCCTTTCTCGCTTATAAGCCCCCTTCAATCAAGGCGCCCTCTACAGCTGAGAGTGTGACGTCATCACTTGTAGTAATGGGGTAGAGCATACGGGCGGCTAAGTGGCAGCTCGGAGTTAAGGATAGAAGATCTGATCAATGGAACAAAGAAAATGTGACCCACCATGGCAATGGGAGTAAACAGATAGCCTCAACTGCCCATTTTTCCATGGTGGAACTTAAAACATCAACAACACCATATGGATATTACCAAAAGATATTAGACAAAAAAGGAGATCTGTTCCTGCTTAATGCAGGTTAAACAACCAGCGTTTTGTACGACGCACTCAGAGTAACTTCAACAAATCCTGCTATCATCCAGAGTTGGTTCATGGAGTAACTGTTGGCATTAACCTGACTCAGGATATGGGCTATTTAGCTTTCTGAACCCAAAAATCAATATGCAGGGATTTACCACAGAAGATATTCTGAATTCTCCCACTTTCTGAAACAGGTCCCAGATGTTTCACTCTGAAACTGCTTTTCTGCAGCACTATGTAAAGTCGGTAAAACAGATTTTCCCCTTTTGCAGCACCTCACTCTGATGGTCATTCACCAACATCTGATGCGGCTTCAGTCATCACAGCACAGATAACTCTGATGCCATCCCCAACATCAGAGTGGCTGGATCACTGACATCACTTCCCCACAACGGCCTCTCACTTTCAGCTCCGCCAGGTGATCTGCTCTGGTGGGGCCGATGTTCAGGATGGCGATCGGCATCTTCCGCTCACTTGCTGCCAGCATAAACCTGTATCCTGAATACACCTGCAGAGGAACAGAGGAACGCTTTTAAATCCCAGGCTGATGCCAAACACAGTTCAGTTAGAAGCTAGTCAATACCTGCAGCGACGACCCTACGACCAGGACTGCATCCGCCTCTGCCAGTCTTTCGTGCACAAACTGCACAGTCGCTCTGTTCACCGTGTCTCCAAAAAATGTAACGTCTGGCTTCAGAATCCCGCCACACTGCTGACAGGAGGGGACCCTGAAGTTCAGGACCTGCTCGTCTTCTAAGAAGACATCACCGTCTGGAGCCGCAGCTCCTGCCTGAGCGCTCCAGTCTGGGTTTATAGACACAAACCGCCTCTGTAGGTCCTCCCTTAAGGTGATGGCTCCACAGCCCAGACATGTTACCCTGGGGACACACAAAACATGACAACACCATAAAATATTCTGTGAAATTATCTCTTTAAATGCACTACACTCTACAATGTGAGACAATTTTTAAATCAGTAAAAGACAAATCTTAGAAAATCCAAATTAATGGCATCCTTTTTATGACTGACAGACCTACAGTTACTCCACCCAAACGCTTTCATTAGGTTTTTGTATTTTCCAAAAATGAGCTCAAACATATATTTATTGAATGCTTTCCTATTGTTGAGAACCCAAGAGAACTATAACACACTGATATTCATATTTATAGATAGTTACAGAGATGCCTTTTAGTGCATTACATATATGGGGCCCAAAAACATGAATGTATAAAAAAATAAAGAATAACAGCCGATTCTGATGCCAAAATCGATACATTATGCATCCATAGAAGTACATTATCAATTCCATCCAGAAAAATATGGTAATGCTTCATTTTAAATATAGCATAGCAGATTTTGTTTCTTGTAAACTTTCTGGTAAACTTGGAGATATATCTTATTGCATATCCCAGTAAATCTGTTTCACCTTTAAATCTGCAGCTCTTCCTAATTCTCTCTGTGCTCTGTTTAAAAAGATTTATGAACCTCTTTATTAATATAATGACGCCAGAAACAAAATTTCAAGATATGTAGAAGCTCTGCAGTCCGATTCTATCTGTACAACAAAAAAAAATGTTAATTTTAACCTGTAACAGGGGATCACGGTCCTCTGAGAAGCCAAGTTTTTTTTTTAACTAATAGAGAAGAACAAACTGTATTCTCACACTTCTTGCATTATAATACCAACTTGTATAAACTTAAAATCTGTTGCCATTTTTAGCTGAAAAAGCTCCGTATGTCAAACAAACAGATTTTTCAGTGGTATGAGCTCTAATTTTTTTTTTTATCCAACCCAACTTTTACTTAAACAGTGAACCAGCTGCAGGTTAATATTCACTGAGTGCTGCCGTGTGTCTCTCCTCCAACCACCTAGCTACTCTTTAGAGCAGGGGCCTTCAACGTTTTCCAGGCAAAGGGCCCCCAAACTGATGGTGAGATGGAGCAGGGACCCCTAATCATATATAGTATGAAATTGTGTTATATCAAACAGGTCATATAGTCAGTCTATTTTTCAGTCCCTGGGATTATGAAAGTATTTCTGATTCTGATTCCTGGTTGATGGGACAGGTGTTGTGAATGAAACGGTGCCCAGCTTGAAAGAGCTCCTGTGTGTCACTGAATGTGTCCATTGATGACTGAAAGACATCTTTTGCCTAAATGTATCTGTTTACTACAGTGTGTTGAATACATTTTCATTTGTATTTAAAAACATTTCAATTAGTGGAAAAAGTGCAGAGGGAATATTTAAAAAAAAGTATAATCAACAAAAACTCTGGCGACCCCCATGCAGTACCTCCACGGACCCCTAGGGGTCGCGGACCCCCGTTGAAGACCTCTGCTCTAAGCAGTGAAATGCGACCGCAGATCAGATGTCTCTACGGGACAGCTCCGATGATGTCAGACCGAGATGCGCTCACCTATGGGCGCAGCCGTGGAGCTCCGTGAGGCGCCTCTGTCCCGCCTTGGAGTGGAGAGCGTCCACATTCTGGGTGAGCAGCCAGTGCAGCTTCCCCCTCTCCTCCCAGCTCCGCAGAGCTCGGTGGGCCCCGTTAGGCTGATGGGAGGAGAACTGCGGCCATCCGACGAAGTTTCTGGCCCAGTATCTCTGGCGGGACTTGGCGCTGCGGGTAAACTCTGCGTGCTGCATGGGTCTGCGGTCGGTGCGGGCGTACAAGCCGACTCCCTCCGAGCGGTAATCAGGGATGCCCGACTCCGTAGAAAGACCTGCTCCGGTAACAACAAACAACCGTCTGGACCGGGAGACGAAGTCCTGCAGCAGCTCCAGAGAGCGGGCATCCGCGGTGCTGCAAGCGGGGACAAAATCCAACTTCCCCGCAGGCACAGAGGAGGCTGTCCGAGCAGGAGCGGCGAAAGGAGGCAGGAGGTGCAGAAGCAGCCGCATCTGAACAGGAGTTCATTAAACACGTTAATAACAACACAGGTTAACCAAGTGATACACAAATAACACACAATAACTAATGTTACCTTATCAATTATATATATATTAAAAAAAAAGAAAGTTTACTGCTGTAACCGTCACGACAAAGAGTTTGCAGTTTTGTTAGATAACATGTCAGCAGAAGCAGCTGATATAAGGTGGAAGCTGAAACCGGATGTACACATTTCAATGTAACACCAAACAACCGCGCAGAGTCTGGGAGTTGTAGTTTTTTCTTTAGTTAAGCAATAAATGCGGAGAGTTAAAAAATGAATAAATAAAGATTATTTAACCTGTTATTTTTTCGTTAACATCTCAAGTATGAAGGATCAGGAAAGTCACAAAAAAAACTTTTCAAATTTAACATTTAAACGACACAATTAGAAATCCAATTTTTAAGCATTCCCGAGCTGCACATTTTTAAGTTGTATTGAAAGAGTTATTGTAAATTGTATGTATTAACTCATTACTAAATACTGCTTGAGTGTGGGGAGGGTAGGTATCCTTCAGGTCCACCTTAGTGTGTCCAGCTGGATTGGTGTTTTTGAGATGTAATTGGCTTATTGTTTCATATTTGTCAAAAAAGTTGTTGAATTCTCTGTTTTAAGATTTTTAGATTGCAGAGATGAAAACTTGACTATCACTGAGACATTGCTGATAATCAAGTTAGACTTTAAACTTTAAAACTCAGTATTTGACTGTGATGAATCCACAAAATAAATAAATAAACACATAATGAAATAGGTCATTTAAAAGTTGCAAAAAGAACAAAATTCATACAGGATTTTTATAATATAGTTAAGAGGCACATGGAAAAGTGTAGAGGAAACTAAAATGTATTTATAAGTATGTGGAAAAATCTTTCTCTTTATGTCAAATTGTCATATCATGACATTTTATGTGTGAAACCAGTTGCATTGGTTCCTTTAATTGAATTTTAAAGTATTCTTCCATATCAAATATATTCAGGCTCTTCTATCTACTCTGATCCTCTGTTCTATCCTATGAGTTTCAGTTGATTTCAAGTCAATTGCTATGTGCTTTGTAATCTATCCTTCAGATTCATATAAAGATTTGTGATTAATGATGCAATTAATAATTAGAAAGCCTTATATAGTTGGTGTGCGCAGAAGCCATGACAATGTGTTACTTTCTTCTTTTTTTTTATTTCAAACAACTGCTAATTTTTAGTCTTCAGGTCTTCCATGGCTCTCAGAGGACTTTATGTGATTATTCTTTTAATTTCACTAAATAAATCACATGATGCATGCTATGGCTGGTTTGCGGTATTTCTACTTCTAGATAGTTTTTTAGAGAGCTCTTAGCTCCATCATATCATGAGATGTTTGTGGTGTAATACCTTCACACTCAAAACCTAACTCTATTTATTGATGGTGCTTTACTAAGAGCAACAGATTTGTTGGTTTTCTAGGCCTATTTGCACCTTTTCTTTTTAATACTCTTTATTTTTTAACATATCTTTGTGTTATTGCCCTTTACTCCAAATAATTATTCTTTTTTATATATTTCATTGTGTTCCTTCATGTTTTTCCAAAAACATCCTGAAAATGTATCTTACCTAGAAATGTATTTCCTGGGAAAATATTATGACATGTTCAAAACTTATTTTTCATGTCGTATCATTGGAAAATACCCACCTATAAGAAATTAATTATCTTTTTTTAGTCACACATAAAAACCCTGCACAATCATTTCAACAGCCCCATAGTTTGTTTTGCTGTAAACGCTTGCTTTTAGGCTTTAAATGTTTATTAAATATTAATTTCCATTTTCAAAAACACAAAGATGTATAACTTTGACTTAGTAAATATTCCATTATGACAGAAGAAGTGATGGACTTTTTTGCTGCAGTCATTTCACAACTGTGAGGTGAAATGGAAAACACGCTGCCATTTTATTCATTTCCTCCATCAGAAAATGCTGCAGACATCCTGGTTACAAAACTCCAATATATCTGTTGTAGGGGGAAAAAGATGCAAAAGTTGTTGTTATTATGGAGGGAAAGAAAAAAAATCAAGTTTTCAAATCGTTAAAATCTGCGTGTCCAGGTGCTCCTACCGGATTGTGTGCATTTAAAGACAGCCTCTACGTGACTGTAAAACTCCTCTCCCAGGATGGAGCGGTAATCCATGTGACTCGTGTGAACAAAACACTGTGTTGCATCTTTAAATAGCAGATCACTCTCCCCATATTGATGAGATTCAAAGAGATTGAACTCTGTGCTTAGGGTGTTGGCCAAAGTTTCCTGCCATTAGAGAAAAATCACCTTAGACTTTTAAACATCAAACATATGAGACAGATCAGTAAAAAATAATGCATAAATGTAGAGTGATAGGAAGATGTAAAATCCATCAACTCTTTCATTGTCTAAACCTGCTTATTACTGCAGGGCCGCTAGAGTTTTTGACTTTCTCCAGTGTTGACTGGAAAAGACACAGGACAGAACACTTAGCATGCAAATACACACGTAAAGGCAATTTAGA